TTTGTTTTTTCTCTCTCTTTATGTTGCTTATCACAACTGGTTTATTGTAATCAATGTACATTTGTTGTTTGCTTGTGTCTGTAAAATACTTGCCGTTCATTTTCTAGCAATTCTGACATTTCTTTTTGCGCCAGCACCTGTGTTATTTATGGAAAAAAAGAAACAAAGTATTCCTAATAAATAAACATACCTTCAATACATCTCTGCACTAAAACATTACTTATGAGAGATGCTGAAATATTCTTATCACAACCCATTAACAAAACAGTATTTTACTGATCAAACAACAGAACTTTTTTGGTGAGGGCAGTGTTAAACGTATTTGATTGATTGATATGTTTTTTATGGTTTATCAACACTTTGTGACTTATTTTAAAGCGGAAACATGTATTGTATAAAATTATTATTTTCTTTTATTTTGTATGGAGTGAATGTCATATTAACAATTTCTTTTAAAATGATTTTTCCATATACAAGTGCTACTACCTAACCTATAGCTGGGGGAGGGGATAGATTAATACTTTTCCCAAAAGTAAATATAACAAACCTGACTGGAATTTAAATTCAGCTCTCCATTTTCTTATTTTGGGTAGCTATTAAAGGAATTTGAGAATAAACAAAGAATGTTGAAACTACTTAAATTGAGCAGTCCATTCATTAAAAACAGGAAACAGTTTTGTAAACATTCTTCCAGATGATTATTCTTTAAAGCTTCCACAACATTTTTCAGAATCAGAATATAGAAGAGGGTTCTGTTTATAATATTGATACAGTGTCAAATCAATCCCTGATTTTTACAGAGTTACTGGACATAGATGTTATTTACATATATCAAGTCTGAAACTGTGTTCACTTTCTGAGTATAAGACATGGGTTCAAATCTCACCATGGTTGATTTGTCAGGGGTGATGACTTCTTGATGTTATCAGCCTAGGGAGGCGATCCTAGTATACAGCACCTATACAAAGTGCTTGAAAATAATACCAGAAATTGGCCTAAGCCTTGTGATTGAAATTTGATAGACAGAAGACTGTGCTAGCATGAAATCACAAGTCATTGTGACTGAGGGCTTGGGCATATTGGCCGTGTTCGATAATAGATCACACAACTTGATGTGGCTGCTGACAAACCAACCTTAAAGTCAACATGCACCTGTATTGGTCAAGAGAAATAAATCCTAAATCCCCACCCCCACTGCTTTACGGGCAAGTGATGTACTCTTTTATGTATTAGTGAATAATTCTTCCAACATGACATAAAATCGTCAAGGACATTTTTTTGGTTATACATACATACATACATATATATATATATATATATATATATATATATATATATATATATATATATATATTTATATGTTATTTTATGGATACAAATATTTCAGTAAATGCTCTGTTTATAATAAACAGTATTAACAACATTTACCGGCCTGAATGTCCAAGAAATTTCATAGAAAATATGTGTCCTCTGAAATATGAAATTTCCCAGACATTCAGGCCAGTAAATTCTGTTAATACTGTTTATTATAAACAGAGCATTTACTTAAATACTTATATCTATAAAATTAACATATAAACAATAAATATATTAAAACAATTGTTGAAGTCCATTTCCTTATATACATATTTATTATAATATATTGCACATATAGTGCTGGTGTTAATAAAATAGTGCTTGATGTAATATAACAGAACTTTTAAGTATATATCAATAAATATAGACATTTTCCCTCAGTGCAAGTACAACCTGGAGTTTCATGCATGAGACAATCTTCAGGTGCAATCTTCAACACCTGAAGATTGTATCATGCATGAAACTATGTGTCATGCTAGCAGTGAGAGATAGATAATATGTATATTTATTGATATATATACATGTGTGTGTGTATATATATATATATATATATATATATATACACACACACACACAGGCATCCCACACTACTTTGTGCTTCAACTTTTGGAGTGTCAATCTATCATGGTTTATTTCAAACTTTTTAGCTAGAAGTTTGGTTTTGGTTTGTTTTGTTTTACAGTATATCATCCTCCATCGGTTATTCAATACTGACAAAATTTTCATTGTTGGTAATATTTTTTTTCCAAAAATTTATTTCTGGTAATATTTTTTCCTTCAAAAATCTATTTCTGGTAAGAATTTTCCTTTGCTGGTAATATTTTTTTTTTCAAAAAATGTATTCCTGGTAATATTTGTTTTCAAAAATGTATTGCTGGTAATAATGTTTTTCTTACAAAGTATTTCTGGTATTAAAACCTATTCTTACACTTTCATAGTGTTTTGACCCCAGGTTGGGGGTTAACTATTTGCCCATAGTTGGGACTCTAACAGGTGCTATCACACCAGGTCAGGGTGAACCTGGGAACACCAGCAATTAAGAGGTGGTTCCACTCTCCTCAAAACCTCCTGATCAGAGGCCTTGCTGTTGGACGTAGTTTATCGTCTTACCCAGGATGCAGATGTAGTCTATTGTCATACACAGGACAACTGGAAGAAGTTGTGGCTTGAAAGTGTCCACAATTACAAAGGATTCACCCCAGAGGATATAAGACAAGCAGCAGTGGATAAGGCAGATGGAAGGAGAAGGTTTGGCAAATATGACCCATGATGATGTGGATGAACTGCTGAAGACATACTTAGATCCCTTAACTGATGAGGAATTGATAGAGATGACTAAGTCTGCCAGTGAGGAGGAGAAAGAGCAGCCAGAGACTCCTGGGGGTTAGGAGTAGGAAGTTGGCTTTACTCTTGAGCATCTCACACAAGTCGTAAGAACTATTAAGGAAGTACATAACATGATTGGCAAATGGGACCCACAAATGATGCATGCAGTTCTGGAATGCACTTGATGGAGTGATGAAACCCTACAAAAGCCTCCTCATGCAGGTGAAAAGAGAGTGCCAGCAACTGCCTATCACAATGTTTTTCAGCCACACATTTAGACCACCCACTAGGCTTAGTATGCCTTCAGCAGAAGATGATGTCACACCACCTGAAGACACTCCTACTAAAATCATGCTTTAGAAGAACAGTAACCTTTGTTGGGCAATACATCTCTCCATTGCTCATCATCGAACATTTTCCTTGGTTCACACTAACCTAAGGAAAATAATGCAACTTGTTTGATGATGAAGCAATGTACATGTAAAAACTTTGTGCATGAATTTAATGTACAATAATAAAAATATATTTGTAACATCTATCTTATTTTCTCTTATTTTGTCTAATATATTGGGTAATATAAGTGTAAAGGTGACTACAGTGGTGTTATTTTATGTCTAGAGAGATCTTATAATGTCAAAACCATAGTTAGAAGGTTGTAAACAGGTTTTCTATGTTCTAACTATGAAAATATTTGATTTGTAAATAAAGAATCCTACTTCACAGATTTTCACTTATGGCAGTACGATCGGGAAATGATTAACCATGAAAATGAGGAGACAATTATATATATATATATATATATATATATATATATATACAGTGTAACCCGGATATAAGAGACCCGGATATAAGAGAGATTTTCTCTGGTCCCAAATTAGAGCCTGTGTTAATGTATATAAAATAGACCAAACCCGGATATTAGAGAAACCCGGATATAAGAGACTTCTTCTCCGGTACTGACAACTCTCTTATATCCGGGTTACACTGTATTACAATGAATCATTCATACAAAAAGTAGATTAGTAAAGTTAATGATAAAAAAATGGCGAAATCCTTTCACAAACAAAATTTTAAAGTTTCATTAACTTATAAACCACTTGATGAATGTTATGATCCTTGTTTTTAATAATTATGAGCTGTATAAGATCATTTTTTTAATATGCAAGTACTTTCAACTGTACATTCAGTCATCCTCAGGAATGGAAATTATTTTGTTTTTAGTAAATCCAGGTAGCATCTGAGATGAAAAATTTTTACTAAAAACAAAATAATTTCCAGTTAGAATGCTACATTTGTCATTCCTAAATACAGAAATTATTTATGACTGTACATAATAAGGGGGACAAACCAAATTTGAAAAATTCTTGTGTGTGATTGTCTTTCTCTTTTTCTTCTTTAACAATTTATAATCTCTGTGGATATTTACTTGACAAGTTTGACACAAAGACATAGATATGGGTCTTCAGATTTTAGCTTGATAACTATTGGTCCCTCCCTCTCACAATCTCTGGCTGTTTGTCTTTTACAATTTTTCACCTAATCAATCTCTATACAGCTCTCTCTCCCTCTCTCTTTCCTATCTTTTTTCACTCTCTCTGTAGGAAACCTAAGAGACATATGATTAAAGCACTGGCCAAAATATGTTGGGATGCCTGGCAAGATGTGAGTTCAATCCCCGGTTCTGGTCATGCTGAAAAGTTACATACTCTAGTTAGGTGAAAGATACAGAAGGTGAATAAAGCAGATGAGTATAAACAAATAGAGTTATCTCCCCATAGCTTGGAAAGCGGTATGAGAACAATCTACTCTAGTGGACTGGATAAAGGGTTAAGTTGGAAATTCCAAGAAGGTTACCATGTACGAAGGAGGACACCTGAAGAATGTCAGAATGTGTGACAGTCGAAACATTGTGAGCATAAAAATCAAGATGAGCATGCTAGTCTGAGTAGCAAACCGTATAACAGCTCTCATTGATGCTGAAATGGATGCTATTTCTACAAATAGACATTTATTACTGTCTGCAGTTTGTGCTACAGAATAGAAACTTGAAGCAGTTATCTGTTCTTTTTTTTAATTTAGTTTTCTTTTATTCTTATTGTTTTGAGTGCTTGAAATATTTTTTGGCTCACTCTGTGTGATTACATTCTAGCCACCAGCAAAAAAGGTTTGTGGCAATCTCCCCACCCCTGCCAGTAAAATAATTATGTAGTCATTTGAGGCTGGTAGGAAGTGAAATGTTTAGAGGCAATATTTACCTTGCATTCTTTTCATAAAAATGTGGGGTTGGGGTAAATAGTGGGAGTCTACCTATTTTCCTTTCATAGATAAACAAAGTGTGTCTGTGCATGTAGAGAGGGAGGAGGGAGATAGATACATGGGAATCTTACATAACAGTAGGTGATTTTAAAAGTTAAAAATTCATTTTGCTCAGTAAAGGATTCTTTTTTTTTATTTAGGAAAATATTAACTAGGTTCATTGATATAAGGAAACTTATCAATTAATAGATATTTAAAAAACTTATCTCTTGACCAACTCTAGTGTTTTGTGTAATACCACCCATCAACTCTGGTCTGAGGAATATATTGAATTATTACCAGTTATATTTATATTGCACAAAAATAAACACTAATGGTAGACTTTAAATTTTGAATTTGATATACATACTATGCTAGAGCCCATAAAGAACACTTAAACATTTAGAAGCAGTTCAAATGATACATACTTTTTTTATAATTTTATTGATATACTAGCAGTAGAGCCTGGCATTGCCTGGAAATGTAACAGTAAGAGATAGATCAAGTATCGACCATCATAAAGACTGAAAAATAAAATTGACAAAAGATTATTGTTTAAGGTTGACGGACACGGATGTCTTAATTAGTTTTTTGTTTTTTTTTTTTCTGAATGGTGTCTCAAACAAAAACATTGTTTTCAGTTGTTGTCTAGCGATTGAATAGTTTTTAAACAATTGTCTTGTAAATGGAATTTTTTTCTGAATGTAAAATAAAGAAAAAACAAGACAAACCTGCCAAAAAAAAACATTGTCTTGCACACTTTTTTCTTTTATTTTTACATTCAGAATGCTTTAAAAATTCCATTTACAAGACAATTGTTTATAATAAAAAATTCTATTCAATTGCTAGAATGGAATGATTGAAAACAATGTTTTGTTTGAGTTTGGGTTTGAAAATAAAAAAAAAAAAAAAAAGAATTAAGACATGCATGTCTGTCAACCTTAAAAAATAATCTTTATCAATTTTATTTTTCAGTCTTTATGATGGTCGATACTTGATCTATCTCTTACTGTTACATTTCCAGGGCAACGCCAGGCTCTACTGCTAGTATTTATTATAAGGAAAGTATGAAGATCTACAAGAAAAAATGCATAAGATAAGTGGATAAGAAATATGTTTCTTAACAAAGGGGAATGTCAAGGTTTTACTGCTAACACAACTTTGGCATTTCTGGCTAAACTTGGAATGTCTAGACCAGAAAAGAGGAAATATATATGAAGAGGCTCCAATTTTGGAACAGAGGCTGTGTCTGCAGGAATCTGTGAAGATAACCAAATTGGAGAAATATGAAGATCTGGGAAAAGAATGCCTCAGATTGAATGCCAATGCAACTTTGGCATACCTGGCTAAACTTGGAATATCAACATCAGCAAGGTAATAAATACATACAGTTCTGGAAGCAGGTGTTTGCTCATTGATGTGAATTATAGATTGGTTTTATACAGCAGCATGTAGAAGGTCGGGGGGTAGGGTTCAACGGCCACAGGCATCTATATCGGGAGGGCATCCAATCAAAGAGTGAAATAAAAATTTAGTTTTTGAAATTTGAAATAAAGTGTTTATTTCATGTTTCATCTGTTCTTACATATTTAAAATGTCTTCCTTTCTCACATTTCTCAGTACTAGGCCTTATAGCCTCCCCCCCCCATTTGAGTCTTAAGGCTTACAATCAAGGTTTATCACCAAACCTCTGCATGTCACTGGTCTTATATTATTTTAATTAAATCTCGTTCTGATTCACTCCAACCTGTTGGTCAGATGCACTATAAAAGGAAAATAAAAATAAAAATGTTGCTCCCTGCACAGGGGGTCCAAGTATTACATCCATCTAACAAAACAAATCTCCCCCAAATCTGAAATACAATTTAAATGTTGAAGCCAGTCATTATCGCGAAAGCAAAAGAAGACAAAAAACACTGAGTCATGTATCTACCCTGACTGCTTAAAAGGACCCACTTGTGAAACTCTGCTAAAGCAAAAGCAGACAAAAATCATTGAGTCATGTATCTACCCTGAGTGCTTAAAAGGACCTGCTTGTGACACTAAAGCAGTAGATAGGGAGTCACAGATTACACCAGTGGTTCCTGGTTAACTGATAAAATACAAGCTTCAATGGTAGACCCATACATTACCTGCTCCCACATAGGTCATTTCCCCCACCTACAAAGAGACATTCCACCTTGATCATTTATGCCAGTAATACAGAGAATTTTATTTTAACCTATCTTGTTACCTTTTCCTCCAGCCTCAATGGTATTACATTATGGTCTTTTTGTTCTCTTGCAACCATATGTAGTATATAACATTGACCCTAATGGTTTAATGAGTGCACTAATTTCCATGAGAGTAATTCCGGATTTTCTGGACCACTGCATTGACCTGCCACTACTGTTTGATGGTGCTACTCATTGCATCACCTGTTTTTGAGCACCTTCAGTTGAGTTTGAGTCCCAAGAGGTGCTCAAGGCACAGAGCCTCTCTGAAAGAACACTTGTTCATCATGACAAGTGATTTTTATGTAAAGCTCACAAAAGAAAAGAAATAAAAATTATATTTACATGTGTCCACTTGTACTTTTCAGAAAAAGGAAAGAACATGCATATTTAGTTGTAATGTGTGCTTGGTGTCCACATGATTTGTTTAAAATTAATTAGTTGGTTTGCTGAGGGAAAAGAATCTCCTCTAGTGGAGAGAAGTTCTATGTTGTTGCTATATTGGAGAGCATGAAAGAGAGGAAGAGGGTTCATTACTCCATCCTATTATAGTCCTGAACAGCACCACCTAAAGGATATCTTGATAGACAAAGTGGGTGTAATTCACACATATTCATTAAGGCTATTTGCACAAAGGTGAATGTAACAAACTTGACTGGAATTCAAACTTGGCTTACTGATTTCCTATTCTGAGCTGCTACCATTATACCACCGGAAACCTCCAAACCCATTACTGAGTATTTTTCTTCCATGTTTATATGTAAGATCTGTCTGGAATATATCCAACAATTATGAATAACTAAAGGACCTGTTCTGAGGTCTTTGATATAAACAGGCAACCAAACAAATAGAATTTTACTGCCCTGCATATGCTTAAAGACATGTACTCCTTTCCATGGAGTAACTCAGATAACAGTGAGATGCTCTTGTGGCTGTTGCATATGCAATGACTGAAAAATGTGCACAGTTTTTTTTCTAAAATTTTGAATCTCCTATATTTCTCAGTTGCAGCCACCCCCGTTTGTATGTGGCCCCCAGGCACATTCTGACTTTTCCCAAAGCTAAAATTGCATTTGAAATGGAGGATGGTTATATAAAAAAATAGAAGGCATGCTAGCAAAGTGCTAAATCCCAATGAGGTTATTTTGAAAGGGCCTAAGGTGCCATTGCCAAAAACAGACTATTTTTTAAATTAATATTAAATGGCCAAACAATTTTCAGACAGACTTTATATGAATTTAGTATTTACTGTCATTATATGCATAATTAATATGGCTGCCTAGCTGTGTGGTTAGAATGTTCATTTTCTGACCATGAGACATGGCATCAAATCTCAACATGGTTGATTTGTCAGGAAGGTTATTTCGTGATGTTATTGGCCCAAGGAGTTGATCATAGCATGCAGCACCTTTGGAAAGTGCTTGAAAACCATACTACAGGTTGGTCCAAGACTTGTGAGTGAAATTTGGTAGACTGAATTCAATGGTTGTGCTAACAGGATGTCACAAGTTCAATGACCAATGTTTTGAGTGCATTGACCTTGTTCAAATTGTTGATCATGCCAGATGATGCACTCTCTTCTAGAAACTGTAACTAAGCTGAGGTTCACTCAGCACAGTTGCAGTATAGACCACAGATGGGTTCTGTTGAACAAACACAAATGTGCTAGAGCATCTGTCTGTAAAGGGGATTAGTCAACCGCCCTAGCAGACATATATACTTGAAAAATGAGCAGCCAGCCATTACTTATTCATTGGAATTGTAATGTTAATAACATTTGAGAAGAATATGAGACTACACTTCCCATACATAAAAGGTGTTGATTCACTTCTGGATTCCATCAAATTAATGTCAGCCTAATTGAGGGTATGTGGATTCAGGTCTTCAAACATTTAATCTTTTTGTAAGGATATGAAATATGCTTCTTTTGCTCTTGTAGATTAGGCATTAATATAACTTCTTCTCATCCAGCTGTCTTGATCCTAAGTTTTTTTTTGGGGGGGTCACATCCTTCATTATGTTGGTGCAACATACTTTCATGATCAATTTTGCACTTAATGGCTTTGAGGTGACCTAGTTCAACCCACAAAGCTCCGATGTCCTTTGACTTTCTGAGGTGATGGCTGGTATCACTTAAAGTGAATGCTGGTTATATTGGGGTCATCACACATCAACTCTTCTTAGATCAAGATTTCGGATGGATAATAAATTCTTTTGAGACCTCTGGTATTTCCTGGATTGAATCACATAGTACAGAATGAAGAAAAGTTTCATGTATTTGTATAATATGTCCTACCTGTGATATCATGAATAACAATGATAATAATAGTAGCAATAATGGTAATAAAGATAATTATAATGAAAAGTATAACAAAACCTGTGATTTAATAATAATAATAATGAAAAGATCAAACGAGAGTATATTCTTCTTCGACCCTACATCAATCAGATTACAATAATACAAAGTGTTATACATCTTGGAGTGGATTAAGTTTCAAAGACGTGAACGACAAAAGTAATATTGATTGCTATGTAAGAAAATAAATTAAAAAAGCAAAAAAAAATCAACCCAGAACTGAACAAGAGGAATGCGTTGGCCACTTAAACCATTTTTATAAAAGTCCAATCAATATCATTTATCATGCTGTCACCTTTTTGTTTCAGCCATTTTTTTCTTGTGCATCAGAGGCTGAAATAATTGATAAACCATGTTTTATGCAAATTGCTCTCTGAGGAAAAGAAAATGGTGTACTTGAATTAAAAAACAGAAGAGTCAAAAATAAGTATTTTTTATTTGCTATTTAAAATGGTTTTAAGCAAATGAAACTTGTTTGTCTTAGTGAGGAGCATACTTCTTCAAACCTTGTAACTGGTGCTATAGAATCACAAAGAACTGTACCAATTCACTTGTGGACTAACAACAGCAGCAACAACTAAAATGGATATCACATGTAACGTAAAGAGAAAATAATGATATAATCAAGATGTTGACATTCCATACTGCTTCAAACTAAAGGTTATGAAGGAAACTCCCATAAATAAATAGCACTGGCTGCTTGATTAATGAATGTCAGATGTTTCTGGATAAGAGAAAAGCTGATATTAACATTACTATAAAAAAAGAGTTATAGCCTTCACTCAAAAGCTGCAGCAATTGATAGCCATGTTCTATACAAAATGGTCCCTGAACAAAAGAAAATAGTATATATGAATTAGTAAAAGAACAATCAAAAATATCTATCTTTTATTTACTATTTCATTTTTTTAAAACTCCACCCACGCAACTCAAGGTAGAAGGCTACCAAATGATGTGTGATATGAAAGTGAGGTTAAGGTGGATAGATTACTGATTGCCACCTGTCTTGAAGAGGTTTAGACTTTAGTGCAAAATGAATTATCCTTGTTTGAGTCCATTCTACAAAGAAACAGTTTATGAGAAAATGCTTTATGATGCTTTCTCCTTACATTTGGAATATGGAGGAAATGTGGGTGATTCAACTCCTTGGAGGTAGAGTGGTGTAAGAGTCTGAACTGGTGGAATAAAAGAATGATGCTCATTTGCACATTTACTAGTTGTGGAATAAAAAAATCTATGATTTTCTGTCATATTTAAATGATCAGTCCAGGACTCATTTTGGCTACATTTACATACAGTTATATATAAAAAAAAAATAAATGAAAAGAGAGAGACAGGTAAGAACAGACTGTGTTAGATAGAGAGAGATAAGAACACACTGAGGTAGATAGATCTGAATACTGAGATAGAGAGAGAGATGGAGATGAACAGAGACAGAGAGAGAAATACAAACACACAGAGAAGAGAAAAACTCAAGAAATTTTGAGATAGTACATAGATTATAAAAGATCAGTCACAGAGAAAAAAAATACAAACTTACTATGACAGATAAACAGATATGAAAATACTGAGAAAGAGAGAGATAGGGCATACTGAGATACAGTAAGATAGAAATATGAACACACTGAGATAGATACATAGACAGATATGAGCAGAATGAGAAAGAGAGAAAGAGATAAATAAACAGGTTTAGATATAGAGAAAATACAGACTGATATAGATAGATATAAAAATAATGAAAAGAACAGACTGAGTAGATAGAGAGAAAAAATAACATGAAGATACATAGACAGATATGAGCAGAATGAGAAACAGAGAAAGAGATAAATAAACAAGTTTAGATATAGAAAAAATACAGACTGATATAGATAGATATAAAATAATGAAAGAACAGACTGAATGAGAGAGAGAGAGAGAGAGAGATACATAGATAGATACATAGACAGATATGAGCAGAATGAGAGAGAGAGATAAACAGATATAGACAGACTGATATAGATAGATATAAAAAATACTGAAAACAGACTGAGTAGGCTGAGAGAGAGAGAGAAAACACACTTAGATAGATACATAGACAATATGAGCAGAATGAGAGAGAGAGAAAGACAGATTTAGATATAGAGAAAAATACAGACTGATATAGATGAATATAAAAATAATGAAAGAACAGACTGAGTAGGCTGAGAGAGAGAGAGAGAGAGAAATAGGAACACACTTAGATAGATACATAGACAGACTATGAGCAGAATGAAAGAGAGAAGAGATAAATAAACAGGTTTAGATATAGAGAAAATACAGACTGATATAGATAGATATAAAAATACTGAAAGAACAGACTGAGTAGGCTGAGAGAGAGAGAGAAAAAATAGGAACACACTTAGATAGATACATAGACAGATATGAGCAGAATGAGAGAGAGAGAGAAGAGATAAATAAAACAGGTTTAGATATAGAGAAAAATACAGACTGATATAGATAGATATAAAAATACTGAAAGAAACAGACTGAGTAGGCTGAGAGAGAGAGAGAGAAATAGGAACACACTTAGATAGATACATAGACAGGTATGAGCAGAATGAGAGAGAGAGAAAGAGATAAATAAACAGATTTAGATATAGAAAAAATACAGACTGATATAGATAGATATAAAAATACTGAAAGAACAGACTGAGTAGGCTGAGAGAGAGAGAGAGAGAAATAGAAATATAGACACACACTTAGATAGATACATAGACAGATATGAGCAGAATGAGAGAGAGAAAGAGAAAGAGATAAATAAACAGATTTAGATAGAGAAAAAATACAGACTGATATAGATAGATATAAAAATACTGAAAGAACAGACTGAGTAGGCTGAGAGAGAGAGAGAGAGAGAAATAGGAACACACTTAGATAGATACATAGACAGGTATGAGCAGAATGAGAGAGAGAGAGAAAGAGATAAATAAACAGATTTAGATATAGAGAAAAATACAGACTGATATAGATAGATATAAAAATACTGAAAGAACAGACTGAGTAGGCTGAGAGAGAGAGAGAGATAGGAACACACTTAGATAGATACATAGACAGATATAAGCAGAATGAGAAAGAGAGAAAGAGATAAATAAACAGGTTTAGATATAGAGAAAAATACAGACTGATATAGATAGATATAAAAATAATGAAAGAACAGACTGAGTAGGCTGAGAGAGAGAGAGAGAAATAGGAACACACTTAGATAGATACATAGACAGATATGAGCAGAATGAGAGAGAGAGAAAGAGATAAATAAACAGATTTAGATATAGAGAAAAATACAGACTGATATAGATAGATATAAAAATACTGAAAGAACAGACTGAGTAGGCTGAGAGAGAGAGAGAGAGAGAAATAGGAACACACTTAGATAGATACATAGACAGGTATGAGCAGAATGAGAGAGAGAGAGAAAGAGATAAATAAACAGATTTAGATATAGAGAAAAATACAGACTGATATAGATAGATATAAAAATACTGAAAGAACAGACTGAGTAGGCTGAGAGAGAGAGAGAGAGAGAGAAATAGGAACACACTTAGATACATAGACAGGTATGAGCAGAATGAAAGAGAGAGAAAGAGATAAATAAACAGATTTAGATATAGAAAAAATACAGACTGATATAGATAGATATAAAAAAACTGAAAGAACAGACTGAGTAGGCTGAGAGAGAGAGAGAGAGAGAAATAGGAACACACTTAGATAAATACATAGACAGGTATGAGCAGAATGAGAGAGAGAGAAAGATAAAATAAAAGATTTAGATATAGAGAAAAATACAGACTGATATAGATAGATATAAAAATACTGAAAGAACAGACTGAGTAGGCTGAGAGAGAGAGAGAGAGAGAGAAATAGGAACACACTTAGATAGATACATAGACAGGTATGAGCAGAATGAGAGAGAGAGAGAAAGAGATAAATAAACAGATTTAGATATAGAGAAAAATACAGACTGATATAGATAGATAAATATAAAAACACTGAAAGAACAGACTGAGTAGGCATAGATAGAGCAGAATGAGAGAAGATAGATAAATAAACAGATTTAGATATAGATACAAATAGACAGATAGATATAAAAATAATGAAAAGCAGACTGAGAGAGAGAGAGAAAGAGAGATAAATAAACATATTTGAGATGAGAGAAAATAAAGAGATAAATAGACAGATTTAGATATATATAGATAGATATAAAAATACTGAAAGAACAGACTGAGTAGGCTGAGAGAGAGAGAGAGAAATAGATACACTTAGATAGATACATAGACAGGTATGAGCAGAATGAGAGAGAGAGAAAAGAGATAAATAAACAGATTTAGATAGAGAAAAATACAGACTGATATAGATAGATAGAAAAATACTGAAAGAACAGACTGATAGGCTGAGAGAGAGAGAGAGAGAGATAGATAGGAACACACTTAGATAGATACATAGACAGATATGAGCAGAATGAGATAGAGAGAAATAGATAAATAAACAGGTTTAGATATAAACAGACTGATATAGATAGATATAAAATACTGAAAGAACAGACTGAGTAGGCTGAGAGAGAGAGAGAGAGAGATAGGAAAATAGATTTAGATAGATAGATACATAGACAGGTATGAGCAGAATGAGAGAGAGAGAGAGAAAAAGAGATAAATAAACAGATTTAGATAGAGAGAAAATACAGACTGATATAGATAGATATAAAAAAGATACTGAAAAAGAACAGACTGAGTAGGCTGAGAGAGAGAGAGAGAGAGAAGAAATAGGAACACACTTAGATAGATACATAGACAGGTATATGAATGAGAGAGAGAGAGAAAGAGATAAATAAACAGATTTAGATATAGAGAAAAATACAGACTGATATAGATAGATATAAAAATACTGAAAGAACAGACTGAGTAGGCTGAGAGAGAGAGAGAGAGAAATAGAACACACTTAGATAGATACATAGACAGATGAGCAGAATGAGAGAGAGAGAGAATAGAGATAAATAAACAGATTTAGATATAGAGAAAAAACAGACTGATATAGATAGATATAAAAAATACTGAAATATAAACAGACTGAGTAGGCTGAGATAGAGAGAGAGAGAGAGAGAGAGGAAATACACTTAGATAGATACATAGACAGGTATGAGCAGAATGAGAGAGAGAAACAAAGAGATAAATAAACAGATTTAGATATAGAGAAAATACAGACTGATATAGATAGATATAAAATACTGAAAGAACAGACTGAGTAGGCTGAGAGAGAGAGAGAGAAGATAAATAACACACTTAGATAGATACATAGACAGGTATGAGCAGAATGAGAGAGAGAGAAAAGATAAATAAACAGATTTAGATATAGAGAAAAATACAGACTGATATAGATAGATATAAAAAAATACTGAAAGAACAGACTGATAGGCTGAGAGAGAGAGAGAGAAAAAGGAACACACTTAGATAGATACATAGACAGATATGAGCAGAATGAGAGAGAGAGAGAAAGAGATAAATAAACAGATTTAGATATAGAGAAAAATACAGACTGATATAGATAGATATAAAAATACTGAAAGAACAGACTGAGTAGGCTGAGAGAGAGAGAGAGAGAAATAGGAACACACTTAGATAGATACATAGACAGGTATGAGCAGAATGAGAGAGAGAGAAAGAGATAAATAAACAGATTTAGATATAGAGAAAAATACAGACTGATATAGATAGATATAAAAATACTGAAAGAACAGACTGAGTAGGCTGAGAGAGAGAGAGAGAGAAATAGGAACACACTTAGATAGATACATAGACAGGTATGAGCAGAATGAGAGAGAGAGAGAAAGAGATAAATAAACAGATTTAGATATAGAGAAAAATACAGACTGATATAGATAGATATAAAAATAATGAAAGAACAGACTGAGTAGGCTGAGAGAGAGAGAGAGAGAAATAGGAACACACTTAGATAGATACATAGACAGGTATGAGCAGAATGAGAGAGAGAGAGAAGAGAGATAAATAAACAGATTTAGATATAGAAAAAATACAGACTGATATAGATAGATATAAAATATGAAAGAAAGACTGAGTAGGCTGAGAGAGAACAGAGAGAAATAGGAACACAGATAGATACATAGACAGGTATGAGCAGAATGAGAGAGAAAGAGAGAGATAAATAAACAGATTTAGATATAGAAAAATACAGACTGATATAGATAGATATAAAAATACTGAAAAGAACAGACTGATAGAGAGAGAGAGAGAGAAATAAACACATTTAGATACATAGACAGGTATGAGCAGAATGATAGAGAGAGAAAGAGAAGAGATAAATAAACAGATTTAGATATAGAGAAATATACAGACTGATATAGATAGATATAAAATACTGAAAAACAGACTGAGTGGGCTGAGAGAGAGAGATAGAAATAGGAACACACTTAGATAGATACATAGACAGGTATGAGCAGAATGAGAGAGAGAGAGAGAGAGATAAATAAACAGATTTAGATATATTTAAAAAGACAGATGATATAGATAGATATAAAATACTGAGAGAACAGACTGAGTAGGATGAGAGAGAGAGAGAGAAATTAGGAACACACTTAGATAGATGAATAGACAGGTATGAGCAGAATGAGAGAGAGAGAGAAAAGATAAATAAACAGATTTAGATATAGATAAAAATACAGACTGATATAGATAGATATAAAAATACTGAAAACAGACTGAGTAGGCTGAGAGAGAGAGAGAGAGAAGAAAACACACTAGATAGATATATAGACAGGTATGAGCAGAATGAGAGAGAGAGAAAGAGATAAATAAAACAGATTTAGATATAGAGAAAAATACAGACTGATATAGATAGATATAAAAATACTGAAAGAACAGACTGAGTAGGCTGAGAGAGAGAGAGAGAGATAGAAACACACTTAGATAGATAGATACAGGTATGAGCAGAATGAGAGAGAGAGAAAAGATATAAATAAACAGATTTAGATATAGAGAAAAAATACAGACTGATATAGATAGATATAAAAATACTGAAAGAACAGACTGAGTAGGCTGAGAGAGAGAGAGAGAGAAATAGGAACACACTTAGATAGATACATAGACAGGTATGAGCAGAATGAGAGAGAGAGAGAGAAGAGATAAATAAACAGATTTAGATATAGAAAAAATACAGACTGATATAGATAGATATAAAATAATGAAAGAACAGACTGAGTAGGCTGAGAGAGAGAGAGAGAAATAGGAACACACTTAGATAGATACATAGACAGGTATGAGCAGAATGAGAGAGAGAGAAAGAGATAAATAAACAGGTTTAGATATAGAGAAAATAAATACAGACTGATATAGATAGATATAAAAAGACTGAGAGAACAGACTGAGCAGGCTGAGAGAGAGAGAGATATAATAACACACACTTAGATAGATACATAGACAGGTATAGTGATAGAATGAGAGAGAGAGAGAAAGAGATAAATAAACAGATTTAGATATAGAGAAAAATACAGACTGATATAGATAGATATAAAAATGGATACTGAAAGAACAGACTGAGTAGGCTGAGAGAGAGAGAGAGAGAAATAGGAACAGAACAGATAGATAGATACATAGACAGGTATAAGCAGAGATGAGAGAGAGAGAAGAGATAGATAAATAAACAGATTTAGATATAGAGAAAAATACAGACTGATATAGATAGATATAAAAATACTGAAAGAACAGACTGAGTAGGCTGAGAGAGAGAGAGAGAGAAAATAGGAACACACTAGATAGATACATAGACAGGTATGAGCAGAATGAGAGAGAGAGAGAAAGAGATAAATAAACAGATTTAGATATAGAGAAAAATAGACTGATATAGATAGATATAAAAATAAAAGAACAGACTGATAGATAGACAGCTGAGAGAGAGAGAGAGAGAGAAATAAACAGATTTAGATAGACAGATATAGATAGATACATAGACAGGTATGAGCAGAATGAGAGAGAGAGAGAAAGAGATAAATAAACAGATTTAGATATAGAGAAAAATACAGACTGATATAGATAGATATAAAAATACTGAAAGAACAGACTGAGTAGGCTGAGAGAGAGAGAGAGAAATAGGAACACACTTAGATAGATACATAGACAGGTATGAGCAGAATGAGAGAGAGAGAAAGAGATAAATAAACAGATTTAGATATAGAGAAAAATACAGACTGATATAGATAGATATAAAAATAATGAAAGAACAGACTGAGTAGGCTGAGAGAGAGAGAGAGAGAGAGAAATAGGAACACACTTAGATAGATACATAGACAGGTATGAGCAGAATGAGAGAGAGAGAGAGAAGATAAATAAACAGGTTTAGATATAGAGAAAATACAGACTGATATAGATAGATATAAAAAAGACTGAAAGAACAGACTGAGTAGGCTGAGAGAGAGAGAGAGAGAAATAGGAACACACTTAGATAGATACATAGACAGGTATGAGCAGAATGAGAGAGAGAGAAAGAGATAAATAAACAGATTTAGATATAGAGAAAAATACAGACTGATATAGATAGATATAAAAATAATGAAAGAACAGACTGAGATAGGCTGAGAGAGGAGAGAGAGAAGAACACAGATAGATACATAGACAGATATGAACAGAATGAGAGAGAGAGAGAAAGAGATAAATAAACAGGTTTAGATATAGAGAAAATAGACTGATATAGATAGATATAAAAAAATGACTGATATAAACAGACTGAGTAGGCTGAGAGAGAGAGAGATAAATAAACACACTTAGATAGATACATAGACAGGTATGAGAGATAGAGAGAGAAAAGAGATAAAATAAACAGATTTAGATATAGAGAAAAATACAGACTGATGATAGATAGATATAAAAATACTGAAAGAACAGACTGAGTAGGCTGAGAGAGAGAGAGAAATAGGAACACACTTAGATAGATACATAGACAGATATGAGCAGAATGAGAGAGAGAGAGAAAGAGATAAATAAACAGATTTAGATATAGAGAAAAATACAGACTGATATAGATAGATATAAAAATACTGAAAGAACAGACTGAGTAGGCTGAGAGAGAGAGAGAGAGAGAGAAATAGGACACATAGATAGATACATAGACAGGTATGAGCAGAATGAGAGAGAGAGAGAAAAGAGATAAATAAACAGATTTAGATATAGAGAAAAATACAGACTGATATAGATAGATATAAAATATGAAAGAAGACTGAGAACAGACTGAGTAGGCTGAGAGAGAGAGAGAGAGAAATAGGAACACACTTAGATAGATAGATACAGATAGAACAGACTATGAGCAGATATGAGAGAGAGAGAGAAAGAGATAAATAAACAGGTTTAGATATAGAGAAAAAATACAGACTGATATAGATAGATATAAAAATACTGAGAGAACAGACTGAGTAGGCTGAGAGAGAGAGAGAGAGAGAAATAGGAACACAGATATAGATACATAGACAGGTATGAGCAGAATGAGAGAGAGAGAGAAAGAGATAAATAAACAGATTTAGATATAGAGAAAATACAGACTGATATAGATAGATACTAAAAATACTGAGAAACAGACTGAGTAGATGAGAGAGAGAGAGAAGAAATAGAGAAATAGGAACAGGTTAGATAGATACAGAGACAGATATAAAAAAGAATGAGAGAGAGAGAAAGAGATAAATACAATAGATATGAGAGAGAAAATACAGACTTAGATATAGATAGATATAAAAATACTGAAAGAACAGACTGAGTAGGCTGAGAGAGAGAGAGAGAGAGAAATAGGAACACACTTAGATAGATACATAGACAGGTATGAGCAGAATGAGAGAGAGAGAAAAGAGATAAATAAACAGATTTAGATATAGAGAAAAATACAGACTGATATAGATAGATATAAAAATACTGAAAAGAACAGACTGAGTAGGATGAGAGAGAGAGAGAGAGAAAAATAGAAATAAACACACTTAGATAGATACATAGACAGGTATGAGCAGAATGAGAGAGAGAGAAAGAGATAAATAAACAGATTTAGATATAGAGAAAAATACAGACTGATATAGATAGATATAAAAATAATGAAAGAACAGACTGAGTAGGCTGAGAGAGAGAGAGAGAAAAAGAAACAACACCTTAGATAGATACATAGACAGGTATGAGCAGAATGAGAGAGAGAGAAAGAGATAAATAAAACAGATTTAGATATAGAGAAAAATACAGACTGATATAGATAGATATAAAAATAATGAAAGAAACAGACTGAGTAGGCTGAGAGAGAGAGAGAAAATAGAACACACTTAGATAGATACATAGACAGGTATGAGCAGAATGAGAGAGAGAGAGAAATAAACAAATAAACAGATTTAGATATAGAGAAAAAATACAGACTGATATAGATAGATATAAAAATACTGAAAGAACAGACTGAGTAGGCTGAGAGAGAGAGAGAGAGAAATAGGAACACACTTAGACAGATATGATAGAATGAGAAAGAGAGAGAAGAGATAAATAAACAGATTTAGATAGAGAAAACACAGACTGATATAGATAGATATAAAAATAAAAAAGAACAGACTTTAGATAGAGAGAGAAAATAGAACACACTTAGATAGATACATAGACAGATATAGAGAATGAGAAAGATAGAAAGAGATAAATAAACAGGTTTAGATATAGAGAAAAACAGACTGATATAGATAGATATAAAAATACTGAAAGAACAGACTGAGTAGGCTGAGAGAGAGAGAGAGAGAAATAGGAACACACTTAGATACATAGACAGGTATGAGCAGAATGAGAGAGAGAGAGAAAAGAGATAAATAAACAGATTTAGATATAGAGAAAAATACAGACTGATATAGATAGATATAAAATACTGAAAAGAACAGACTGAGAGGCTGAGAGAGAGAGAGAGAGAGAGAAATAGGATAGATACACTTAGATACATAGACAGGTATGAGCAGAATGAGAGAGAGAGAGAGAAAGAGATAAATAAACAGGTTTAGATATAGAGAGAAAATACAGACTGATATAGATAGATATAAAATACTGAAAATAGAACAGACTGAGTAGGCTGAGAGAGAGAGAGAGAGAGAAATAGGAACACACTTAGATAGATACATAGACAGGTATGAGCAGAATGAGAGAGAGAGAGAAAGAGAGATAAATAAACAGATTTAGATATAGAGAAAAATACAGACTGATATAGATAGATAGATACTGAAAGATATAAAAAAATACTGAAAGAACAGATAGAGTAGGTATGAGAGAGAGAGAGAGAGATAGGAGATAAATAAACAGATTTAGATAGATACATAGACATATAGATAGATATGAGAACAGAATGAGACTAGGGCTGAGAGAGAGAGAGAGAGAACAAATAAACATAGACAGGTTAGATATGAGAGAAAAATACAGACTTAGATATAGATAGACTGATATATAGAAAAAAAATACTGAGAGAACAGACTGAGTAGGCTGAGAGGGAGAGAGAGAAATAGGAACACATTTAGATAGATACATAGATATGAGCAGACAGACAGAAAAAGACACAGATGAACAGACAAGTAAAGAGTAAAATACAAACACACTGAGATCGATAGACAAACAGATACAGAATGAGAGAGAGAGAGAGATGATAACTGAGATAGAAATAGAGAAATGGAGATGAACAAAGATTGATAGAGAAATACACACACACTGAGTCAGACAGATGGATAAATATGAAAATACTTAGAGAGTGAGAGAGAAAAAACTGAGAGAGAGAATACACTGAGATAAACAGATACATAGATGTGAGCAGATTGAAAGAGAGAGAAATGAATAGATATAGTAAAAAATATGAACACACTTAGAGAGATTTTTGAAGACAACAGCATTCTGAAAATGATTGAGTCTAATCAGACATTCAACTTAGTGAGCCACATAACAAAATTTATCATCTAAATTTTGATGAATAGAGCGTGTAGCAGATTTAAACCTCAAATAGAACAAGAACTGTGCAGTTCCATTAAAGACTCTGGAATAAGGAATGTGATATTTATGCTCAGAATGGTATCAGAAAGACCAATAAATATGCTTGATTTATTTGGAAAGGATACTAGAATAATCCAGAATTCAGTCAATACACAAAAACAGAAAGGGCTATAAGACAAGGAGATGTCTTCTCACCAGACTTATTCAAACTTTACAGTGAAGCAATCCTGAGAGAATTGGAACTCCTACCACAATCTTAACAACATTAGAGATGCAGATGACACAATGTTGATAGCAGACATAGAAAGGAAACAATCAGAATTCCTACAGATGCTAGTAAAGGAAAGCAAGAAAAAAGGAATAAACATCAACTGTAAGAAAACAAAATATATGGTTGTTAGGAAAAGAAACACCCCATAATATTAACTATGAATTGGAAACACCAAAATCAAGAAAGTAGAAAAATTTAAATATCTAAGAATAGAGGACGGAAAATGCAACACTAAAATCCAAAGCCACTTTGAGATAGTGAAAGATGCCTTCCAAAAGCTAAGTAAAGTATTAAGAAACAGGAAGATTTAATTAGCAACAAAGAAAAGAATAGTTATTATGTAATATCAGTCCTCCTATATGGTAACTGATTGCTAGTCAATTTCACCACAAATGAAGAGACTTGAGGCAAAAAAAAAAAATGTGTTTCTACAGAAGGATGCTGAGAATACCATGGACTCAACATATGAGCAATGATGACGTTTTAGGAAAAATGGAAACACAAAGAACACTTATACTTAACATCAGAAAGAGGCAGTTGAAACTTCTAGGGCATATAAAGAGGAAAGAGGTTGCAGGGATACAGAAGGCAATCACCTTCCTTTGGCGGAGAGACAAGTTACATGGGTCATGTCGAGGCGGGGGGGACCGCCCTGGGTGCCAGCACAGGAGGGGTGACACAATGTCACCCCCAACAAAATTTTTCAACCAGGTTAAGTTGCCAAAAATAGTCTGAAAACAGTGGTGGAGACAGGGTTTCGCAGGCGGGCATATGACGCCCCCAGAAATAATTTATGACCCCCCAGTTTTGTATCCCCGTCAGAAATTTTCTAATAAATTGTTGGGAAATTTGTGAGTAGGAAAAATAGCAATGTTTTCGGCTTTCATGTGTTTCAGTTGCTACAATCTTGGTTACTAACAAGAGACATTGTTGTAACATTTTATCGGATGATATGGTGTTTTAACTCTGCATCATTAATAACAACAAAATGAAATACGAAGCCAAAAGTGCAACAATTTCAGTCTTGCCTGTGTATCAATTCGCTGAGGGAATTTTCCATTGAGTGAGTGATATACTTTTTTGAATATATCTACTAGTGTTGGGACGACGGAATCAGAATCGAGAATCAGAAAAATCGGAACTTTTTGGGGTATCAGAAATGGTATCGGAATCGGAAAAATTTGTGCCTATTTTCCGATTCCAAAAACGATTCTTTTAAATTTTTAACTTAATTTTCCATTATTGGTACTAATGATAAATATTTATTGTTTTTAAATTATCACTAAAACTAAAATCATAATAACATCAAAATACGATGTAAATTTATTTTACTTGGATAAAGAAAAACAAAAAAATAAACTTTGCATAAATTCTCTAGGTAATCTTTAAAAGAATGCAGTTGATGTTCCGAAAAATGCTTAAAAATTAAATAGAACATTTTGTCAAGAAAAATACTTTCAAACATCATTGATAATTAAATGGTACCCAGAAAATGATGCAAATGGAAAATTGGACACCGGAAAATTAGCAACAGAAAATTACGTCAACCATGAGCCAGTCGAGACTGTTGGATCTGGCTGTGCTGTCCATTGAAAACGAGCTTACAAGACAAACAGATTTTGACGATGTTATTGACCAGTTTGCCACAATGAAAACAAGAAAACATTCATTCTAAGACCATAGTATCGAATGTCATTCTTTTGTCTATTGCCGTGTTTTGTATTTAGTTGTTCTGAAAGTGAACAGTTGCATTTTAAAAATCTTTTGATTTGAACTGATTATTTTGTGGCATTGGATTTTGTCTTGGATCATACATGTAAACAGTAACATACCGGTCAGTAGAGTAAAGTAGAGGTAGAGCATGTATGAAAATTTAGCTACAGCATAGGGTGAATCAGAGTCATTGGGATGACATTTGAGCGAACCGCCCCGGGTGATGTTTACTCTAGCTACGCCACTGAACCTGCCTAACAAGCTTGTGTATATGGTTGGCAGATCAGGGATAGAAGAGAAAGCAAAAATATAAACTTTAATATGATAGGTTCTGATCTGGCATCTAGTCTACAGTCACTTTCTCACAAATGTGCCGTGGCTTCCCTCTGTCTCTTCTACAAGTATTTTCACAGCAACTGTTCCAATGAGCTACTTTTGCCAGTTCCCAGACTGCATGAATTTAAGCGAGCTACTAGGCTGGCATCTCAGTCCCACCCTTTCACTGTCAAAATGGTTAAATGTAACGATCTCTTCTACTCAAACAGCTTCTTCTCTCACACTTCCTCTCTGTGGAACTCCCTTCCCCTTGCTTGCTTCCCCAATGACTATAATCTTCAAGTGTAATGTCAATCGACATCTGACACCCTGAGCTTGTTCCCCTTCCTTTTCTGTATCCTTTCCTCAGATATGCCTCTTTACTCTTGTTCTCAATCCTCTGTAACTCCTTGCATGCTAGTGGCACTCATGCCTTGCTTGGGGTGAATAGTTTAAAAAAAAAAAAAGTACAAAGGACAGAAAATTATGGAGAGCCATTAACAACAATGTCTTGGATGGGTATGGTATGTAGAAGAAGATGAAGAAGAAAAAAAGGGTAGTGATATTTGATAACCAAAATAATATGATATAATTTCAGCCAAATAACCATTCAATTTTTGATACAGCTTTGGATCAGTAATTAAAAAGCTGAACATCATGCCTATCTATTGTTTATAGATGGGCTATTACATTTCTACCATTTCAGTTTTTCTAAAATATAACCATGCCACAATAAGAAGAAAAATAAAATACACAGCAACTAAACCGAATGAAATTTATGAAAACTGTTAACGCTTCAATCAACACAAATTCAAAACCAAAAATTAAAATTTTCGAGACAAACTGTTGTTAAATTTATTGATTCTCTAAGACTTTCCTGGCTTTTCTTGTCTTTTACACCCTGATTCAGCTGATATGCTTTCTAACATTCCTCAAGTATCAGTTACATTAGATAACCCAATAATATTTCTATCATGTATGTTCCATATTTATTTCTATAAAAAATATTTATCTAACCCTGACAAGTAGTGTATCTGTAAAACTTGAAATCAGAAAGATAAGTACTTTGAACTTTTCTTTATCTATTAACTACTGCCCCTCTATTTTTTTAATACTGAGAACTGATTACAAATATCTGCTCACCTTTATACATGTTAAATTTCAGTTATTTACTGGACTACGTGTCTGGCACTTAAGGCACGTTGATACCCAATTACGGATGTCAGTATTCATGTTGGGCCACGCAAAACAATCGGCAATGAGTTTGACCATAGCACGCTTGCTGGGATGTGACAATCCATGTAGGTGGTTGAAAATTTGCCTTCTGAGTGCCGGAGGTATGTAGGGTCTGGGGTGATCCAGTTTTGTATCGCAGTACAATATTTTGTTGCTGAAAGATGCAGAAGTGCTGGAAGCTGCAGGAGTGAGCTGGAGGCTGCAGGAGTGCTGGAAGCTGCGGGAGTGAGCTGGAGGCTGCAGGAGTGCTGGAAGCTGCGGGAGTGATCTCGCGTCTCAGAGGGAAGGCAGTAGCAAAGAGTGGAGTGAGTGGAGCCTTGAAGAGTGGTGATCAAATGACTTTCAGAAATTAGCCCTGAAAAGGACTGTTTGCACAACTGCTGCTACTGCTGCTGGGTCCCGTCAGCTGCTGGGCTTGGTCGACTTGACTGGGCGCGTCAAAGTCGCGAATCAGGAAGGCTTCCTGCTCCCTGGCCGGCAGTATTTACTTAACTCCCACGGGGTCAAGATGTCACACAAGGTCATTTTTCGTGGGAAACCCGAGCATTTCCGCATAGGGTCACTGGTCAAAGATTGGTCATAACATGTCCAAGCTGGTCAAAGCTTAGTCAATGTTTTGGTCATAACATGTCCAAGCTGGTCAAAGCTTAGTCAAGTTCTGGTCCAAGTTGGTCTTGGCTTGTCTTAGCAGGTCCTGATATGGTCCAAACTAGACTTTGCCATGGTCACAACCAAGCCCGAAGGTCGGGCTGCTTCCTGGCCGGGGTTAAACCGCGAAGTCTCGGCATCTAGATATGACGGTTCATACAAGAGAAGCGGTGACGCTAAACAAGTAAATGATTATCATTAATTTCGGTTGCGTATTAATTACAGTCAAAAGTGTGTTCGGTGTTTGTTGACTGTATTTAAATTAATTTTGGTTCGAAATTAAAGGTCTTTTTATTTTTGTTTAGTGGTGAAAATTGAGTTTTGTGTGTTTCTGTCAGTTTGAAAGGATGTCGTTGCTATTTTTAGCACACAAGAGTCGTGACCTTTCTCTACCGGCAGGCATATCCGGGGTTGTTTAAGAAAAGGTGGGAGTGGTGTTTGGGCACACTGCGACAGGTGTTAACAATATGTATTATTATTATTTCTATATATAATATTTCTATATTTCTACTATCCATTAATCTAAAAGATAACCATGACACAATAAAAAAAAGGACCACAGATGTAAACCAAAAAACTTTATAGAAATAGTTAATTCTTCAATCAAAACAAAATTATGTAAGGTTTTAGATAGAACACTCCACCTAGGGAGCAGATAAGTGAGGTGAGTTAATGCCCTTGGCATAGTAGAGATAACCAAGATGGATTAAAGCCCTTGCCACAGTTAGATACCAGTCCAGTCCAGAGAAAACGTTAGAGCAAAATGTGCTGTAAACAACATCCAGATTCACACTATGATGAACAAAGATATTCATAGATGGTAGATGATGACCTCACTTCACCTTAGCTCAAAAGGTAATAATCTTGTAGAGTGCAAACCTCATTGACTGTAAGTACCATATTTATGTCATGTTATATGGTTGTTTTACATAGTTGCATTTAATAAAAACGGCAAATGTATTTTGGCACTGTTCTTTTCATTTCCCTTTAGTACCTTATATTTATTCTTGTTTGAGAACTCTTTGGGGTAGGGAGACATTATAAAATAACAACCCAACAACCAAGGCCTAAAAATAAAATTTTTTGGATAAACTGTTGTTATTCCCAATGTAGTTTTTTTGCCTTTCATGATTTTTTTTTCACATTATTTCAACCAATATGATTTCTGGCCTTCTTTTTTTTCTCTATATATAAAAAACTATTATGCTTAATGTCTATATTTTCTTGATTCCAAATTAAAACTTGGAAATTTTCTAATATATTTCAGTGATATTCTCTCTCTCTCTCTCTCTCTCTTCAAAATCATAGTTTATAATTATAGTTTAGATATATAGAAAAAAAAAGCATCAGTTTAAACTGACACCATGATGATATGCATTAAACTGACATCTTTTTTTTTTCGTATATTGTGACATTTGCATAAAGTTCATATTTTCTTGATTTCAAATGAAAACTTCCATATATATTTCAGTGAAATTTTTCTGATTTCAAGTTTTGCAGATACACTGTTTGTCAGGATTAGATAAATATTTTTTATAGAAATAAATTGACGTCTTCTTTTTTTTCTATATATTGTGACATTTGTATAAAATTCATATTTTCTTGATTTCGAATAAAAGTTCAATTTTCCAACATATTTCAGTGAAATTTTCACTTTCCAAAAATTATGGTTACTTTTGATATATGAAAAAAATGTGTTAGTTTAAACTGACACCAGGGGGATACAAGGTTAAGCCTAGAGATGTTAAAACAAAATCTTTTTGACAGACAATTCTGATACTTATTAAATAATTCATTCAATATTATTCCTTTGGTAAACAAAAAACTTCTGTAACTATTGGAAATGGTAAAAAGTTTAAGCTAAAATTTTCAATATCAAAAAATTCAAGTGGGTAATAATGGAGACACTGTTCAAGATTAGAAAATTTGGAAATTAATCAGAAATATGGTCATCATTTTTTCAAATATTGATGATTTATCATATACTTATATGCATTCAAAACCAGGCATGATTATTCAGATGTTATTGTATGACTGATCAAAATGTGGCTGATTGTAACATGTCAGAGTTTGACTGACATCTAATCCCAAGTAATCAACTGTTTTATTTTTTCATGCAATTCTTGAAGCACTGCAATTTGATTGGTTAAGCAAAAAAAAAATTACAATTTTATTTGGGTCATAAAAAAAAACTCAGTTAATAAGAAAATGTATCAATGTAAAAGCAAATTGCATAAAATCATTTTTCTCACTTGATGAAAAAAAAATTGAGTCATGTCAATGAAATATATAAAAAAAAATAGACGAATTTGACAAACAAGTTTCAGAATTTTGAAAAATATGTTAGAAATAAATGAATATTTATCTATTAAAATTAAATAAAATCACATGATTACATAATCCAACATTAGCCTCTTGTTGAATGTTGATTTTTCCAATTACAGTCAACACTGTCTGGTGAACTTTATTTTGCTATTAATATTTTTCTAACTTATATCAATTGAAAATATGGTTATATATTCCTATCTGTCATTTGTATTGCTATTTTTGATATCATTCTGAGCCTAGATATCACATTCCTTATTCCAGTGTCATTAATGAAACTGCACAATTCTTGTCCTATTTCAGGTCTAATATATCTATACACTCTATTCATCAAAATTTGAAAGATAAGATTTGTTATATGATTCATCAGGCTGATTGTTCGATTAGACTTAATTGATTTCAAAATACTGAAATCTATCTCAGTCTGTTCATATCTATCTCAGTCTCCTCATATATATCTATCTGTCTCAGTTGCTATCTACCTATCTATCTACCTCAGTCTCTTCATAATCTATCTATCAATCTCAGCCTGTTTCTATCTATCTCAGACTCTTAATATCTTTCTACATCAGTCTCTTCATATCTATTTATCTCAGCCTGTTTATATCTATCTATTTATCTATCTATCTATCTCAGTCTGTATATGTCTATCTCAGTCTGTTTCTATCTATCTATCTATCTATCTCAATCTCTTACTATCTTTCTACCTCAGTCTCTTCATATCTATCTATCTATCTATCTATCTATCTATCTCAGTCTCTTAATATCTATCTATCTATCTATCTATCTATCTATCTCAGTCTCTTAATATCTATCTATCTATCTATCTATCTATCTATCTATCTATCTCAGTGTGTTCATCTCTCTCTCTCTCTCTCTCTATCAGTATCAATCTCAGTGTGTTCATATTTTTCTAAGTCACTTTTTCTTTTTCAGTCTGCTCATATCTATGTTTCTATCTCAGTGTGTTCATATTTCTCTCTCCCAATCTCCATTTGTTCAGTCTGTTCTCTCTCTCTCTCTCTCTCTCTCTCTCTCTCTCTCTCTTCTCTCTCTCTCAGTATTTTCATATCTATCTATCTATCTATCAATCTATTTGCATCTTATATAAAATGGATACAAATATGCTTAGATATACAAACATATTTTAGACTGATACAAGCTAGAAATATAAAATAAATTAAATAAATATATATTGCTTTTAAAAGTTTTAAAAGAAGTACATATGAATTATTAGGGAGAAAAAAAAATAAACATTAGTTTTATAGTTGTTCATATACCATTAATTTTTATGGAAACAAGCAAAGTTGAAGAATATTTCTCTTGGTCAAAAGGAAATATGCAACAATATAAGTAACAATAGGTAGTTTATACTTACCTTGTCACCTTCTATATTGCTATAAATTGTACATAATCAAATACATAAAAAATTGGTATATTTTTTAAATAGAAATTTGAAAACAGAGAGAAAAATATAACAGATTGCTAAAACCTGAGAAAAGGTGGAATTACCAAACAATGTTGTTGAAAAAAGTCCATTGAAATGGATGAAAACTCAATGACTGAAAGATACTCTTTAAGTAAACAAGGTTGAGCTATTAATAAATTAATTTTAAGAAGTTGTTAATAATAATAATGAAGAATACAATGGCATAGTGGCATCCCATCTGCATTGGTGCCTATATCAGAAGTATGAACTTGAAAACAAACAGAAATGGTGCCACCACAAACCAGAGAAGGTGACTGAAAATGACCAAGTTGAGATTCTTATAGGATTTCAACATGAAAACAGATGGCATATTTAAAACCACAAAACCAGACATTAGAGACATTGAAAAGAAAAAAGCAAGAAAATGTCTTCTTATTGATGTGACTGTTCCTTGTGGCTATAATATCAAGGTTAAAGAAAATGAAAAGCTTAAAAAGTACACTGACCTCCAAATTGAGGTTGCAAGAGTGTGGGTCATTCAGGCCACTATTGTTTCAGTATTCATTGGAATGTTGGGGGTCTATACCACAGAACATAAAGACCTACACTAAGCAAATTAGAATAAAGCATAGTATGCCTCTCCATCAATGTGGCTGTTTGTGGTGATCATAATATTAAGATCAAAGAAATTGACAAGCTCCTGAAATACAATACACCTCTGAAGTGAAGTTGTCAAAAGGTGGAACAATCAGGCCACTATTGTCTCAGTTATCATTGGAGCTTTGCAGTCTACACAATCAAACCTTAAGAAAATCAGAAAAAAGCCTCCAGAAGTCTGTATTGCTTTGCACTGCAAATATTCTGCGAAAGGTGCTATCTCTTTGAGGTTGTTCAACTTTTTTCTTTTTACACCCTGTGCTAGGCCCAGGGGCCACTCAAGGTAGAGGGTTATATTAAGGAGCAGTTTATATGGGAAGTAGGGGAAGATAACATTGAACAGGTTAAGATTGTAGTGACTGGGGAGACATCCTCTTGGGAATCTGTTCCATAGAGCAGTAGTTTGTGGGAAGAAGCTGTTCAAGATGAACTTATTTGGTGGGTTTGCTACAATGTAAGTGGCATGGCTGGTCTTAGCCGTGAAGGTAGAACCAAGGAATGTAGTTCGTCTGTGTACTTTTCATGGAAAATGGGCACTGAGAGGCCTGTGAAGAACAACCATAATACAAGATCTCTGATTGAAAAACCACACAGAAAAAGAGAAGATGATAATAATAATAGTAAGGCCCTGATGCTTCATCAGACACAGATCTCAAGGCTTCTGATCTTAAATGATTGGATGTTTTAATACACATGTTTTGTCTTCATGAATTAAGATGGACTACAGTAGCTATTTCATTCATTTTCAGATTTCTTTGTTTGATGCCTGACTATAACCAGTTTGGCTTTCATAATAGGTATATTTGGCTTTGTTTATTTGTATCACTTTGTTGGTATGATGCTCTCTCACTCAATAATAATATAGACAAAATACTCTAGAATAATAAATGCTATTTATGTGAGACATATAAAGGGTGTTCTAATAACTTGGACCAATTTTAAATGTGAATTTAAGCATCTAATGATTTTTTTTCTTTTTCTTTCAGATTTAACAACTTAAGTCTTTGGCAATTTCAACCGTGGAAAGATTAACAATCAAACAATGTAAGTTATCAAAGCCTATTGTGAAAATGAACATTCAAATGGAAATGCAATGAGAAGTTCCTAGGTCACATCTTCTCTCGAAACAGTGAAGTCAATTGGCCACCACGATTGTGCTACTTGACACTTTTAGATTTCTTCCTTTGGGATCATATCAAAAGTAAGGTCTATGCCAACAAGCCAACAACAATTCAACAGCTGAAGGATGAGATATTAAGGCATATTTGTGAAATTGAGGAGCAACTATGCAGAGACATCATCAAAAATTTTGACCATCAAATGGAGGTGTGCCGCCAAAGCCTTGATGTACATTTGAGCAATATTATTTTTCACACATACTTGCCATGACTTAAATAACATGATCCAATAGAGAAATAAAGAAATTTTCACCAAGAACATTGATTTATTTACTGCTGACTTTTTGATCCATCTTAATGAAACACCCTTTATAATACACAGATACAATAATTTAGGTTGATTCCTTAATTTTACAACATGCAAGCCTTTGTTGGGTTATTTAATGTAAGGATCAAACTGACTACTCAGAAATAATGATCAACCAGATTAATCTCACTAATTATTAATTGCCTTGAATGTAATAAATTACTTCAGAAGGGATTTAAAAGTAGATATGATTGGGTAGGAATGGTAAACCATTGAGAATTGTTCAAATATCTGAGATCTAACCATACAAACCAGAAACATTCTGAGAGAATAGAAAAGATGAATAAAGCTGCATTTGGAAATTCAAACAGACCAAGAGGTCAAACTTTGTCCTTGTAAATATGGAGAAGTAAATTCGTTATATTAAGGAGATGAAAGTTCTAGAGATTAAAAGAGAGTGAAAAGGTAGAAAAATATTGCACCTGTTTTATCGTCTCATAATTCCCACTCTTCTATGAAAACAGAAGTGCTCACCTTGATGACTACGATTCAAATAACACAAACTGACTTAATTTTCGGCAACCACTGTGCATCCATTTCTGAGACAAAAAAGAAAAATTCATAAGACATCCATGCAACTACAATTGACAGTTTGTTTCTTGAGTCACTTTGTCATTGTCATTGTTGACAGAACTCATTACTGAGTATTGGGATGCACATCGACATTTCCTTCTGTGTGAAATGAGTCCTATGCTGGATCAGAAGAGACGTCCATTGATCCTTGAACCAGTAACTCAACTCCCCAAGGACACATGGCCCAGTGGATAAAAGCATTGGTTGAAGTAATCTAAAAAGTGACCTGATCCAAAGTGTTGTGAGTTCAATACCTGGCCACAGGAGAGGGAACAAAAAATTGGAGAGTTGAGTTATTAAAGGGAATTAACTGAAACTGAGATATCCAGAAAAGGTAGATGTCAGGTGGAATTAGAACAATTTACCCCAATGGACTAAATAAAGGGTTCAGTTTGCAATTCCAACATATATCACCTGAAGAAGGCTGGAGGATATTACAGCCGAAACATTGTGAATATGGCAATAAAGATGAGGACAACAGTCTGAACAATGTAAATATTAAAATGTTACTGTCTCAAAATGCAGAATTTAAGAATGCTTTCACTATTTTCATTTGGCTGCCAACTTTGTAATGATAATTCACCTCTTCTCAGTTCAAAAAGTTGACAACACAGAAAAATAAAAAAACTTGGCTGTGATAAAACCTTTGCAAAAGAAAAGCTTTTGTACTCACAGAATAGGGACCTACTTTATCCCAGCTGTTTGGGTAGTGGTCAAGTTTAGCTGGCTGACGTCGGCATCGTTTTTTTATCCTTGATTCTTGATAGTCTTTTCCTGAGGAAAAAAAAATTGTATTTTAATGTCTTCTTTTTTATGTTTTTTTTCAACTTTTTTCAACCTATCTTTGTAATTCTAAGTAATGTTTGCCCATTACTATTCCTCTTAGTACAAGTTGGTTTGGTTTGATTTGTTATGTTTCATGGCATATCAACCTCATTGGGTTATTTAATGCCGACAACTTTTTTCCTGGTAATATTTCGTTTTGTCAAAAATCTATTTCTGGTAATATTTTTTCCTCAAAAATATATAGCTATTATTTTAAAACATGTATTGCTGGTAATATTTTTTTCAAAGATATATTGCTGGTATTAGATTTTTTCTTCAAAAATTTATTTCTGGCAACAATTCTTTTACAAAGTATCTCTGGTATTAAAACCCATTTTTACACTTTTATAAAGCTTTTTACCTCAGTTTTGGGGTTAACTATTTGCCCATAGCTGGGACCCCAACAGGTGCTACCACTCTGGTGGACCTGGGAACACCAACAATTAAGAGGTGGTTCGACGCTCCTCAAAATCTCCTGATCAGAGGCCTTGTTGTTGGACGTAGTTTATCGTCTTACCCAGGACATGGATATAGTTTATCGTCATACCCAAGATGGTAGTACAAGTTGGAATTGTCTCTCAAGAGACACTAAGAAGTCTATGAAAGTTGATATGTTGTAGGGTTGGGTGTATTTTAGGTGAAGGTGTGTGTTCAAAATGTAAACAAAGATAGAAAAAGTATACAAAAACTTGAGTTTCTGCTTTGAACATTCATTCCTTTTATATTGACCATAGTGAAACAAAGTTCTCAATATTTCTTGAGAATGTCTGTTTTCTTTTTTGGTCCAAAAGTAAGTTGGAATACAATGGTTGCAAATAGTCAATTCACTTACTTCATCAGTAGAGTTGCCAGTACACATCTGAATGATGTTGTTGGAAAGTGGAAAAGAGAAAGATTCTGTCCTTTCTGGTGGTGGGGTCATAAAATCATGCATTTCACAAGAAACCCTTTCTTTATGAACTTGCATCATGGGAGATTAATTTATTTTTATCAAGATACTTATTTTGTCAAAATACTTGTAGCTATAAACTCATGTGACCAGAAACTCTTTCTAGTTTCTTTATGATTTGCATCATGGGAAAATTAATTTTTATTTATTATTATTATTTTATTTACTGGTTTAATTTCATTTTCCCACAAGT